AGAGCTGAAGACCAATTATAGTCACAAAATGCAAGAACAACATCAGCATCACCACCACCACCAACAACAACAACAACAATAGCAACAACAAAATAGACACAATCACAACCAATAACGCCACCACCAACAATAACAATAACAACCACCACAAACACCAACAACAATACCAACAACAAACAAAAAAAAACAACGACAACAACCACCACCACAGCCACCACAACCACCACCACCAACAATACCAAACAATACCAACAAAAACAACAACAACAACAACAACAGCCACAGCCACCACAACCACCACCACCAACAATACCAACAAAAACAACAACAACAACAACACCAACAACAACAACAACAACAACAACCACAACTCTCACTCATCTCCCCCCTCAGACAAGAGCTAAAGACCAAGTACAGTTCGAGCGCCAAGACCAAAGTGGACGAGGACTACAGACGCACACAGCAGGACTTCTATCGGATGGAGCTGGACAAGTTGGACGAGGTGCACCCCGTGAACCGGAAGCACATGCGCAGCGCCTACTTCGCCTACCTGCAGAACACGCCCGGCTCCAAAAAGGCTATCACAGAGTGTGTGCGCTCTCTCAAGTCAGGGAAGGCATAGAGATAGAGAAGATTTTGCTCACATTATTATTATATATGTATTCTTTGCGTATTATCATCTTTTCCTGATTTAGAATATTATTATTATTATTCATTATTCTGTTGTTGATTTTTTTTTCTTCATGAACATTTTAGTTTCGTTTTGTTTTATTTTACATTACATTTTTTAAAAACTATTTGAACTTTCTAGAATGATTATTTCCAATTGCATAAAATCAACTATTATGCCTATTTTATGTTGCAGCTGGTTTTAATCAACTTTATCATATTGCTGTCTCATTTCTTTCTTTTTGTTGTTGTTGTTGTTGTTGAAGTTAAAATGTTTTGGAGGGTTTTTTTCGGGTTTGAAAAAACTTTAAATTCCTCCTTTTTGCATGACCATTTTCACAAAAGTCTCAAAAGTCTCATTCATTTATTCTCGTTGTTCGGTCATTCGTTATTCAATTTTTTCCACAAAAACACATTATTATGTATAATTATTTCATCAAAGACAAGCGTATCTGTAGTAGATCTATATAATAATTATGATATCAAAATCAAAATGATGTTCACATTTTGTATCCATGTACTGATTGATGTGATCTGTATTTCCTTACCTTTCTAGAGACAAAGTTTTCTTCTGAATCAGTCACGCGAAACAATTCTGACTATCTGAACACAAAAAAACAGTTATTTATCATTTGTATTGTAAACGTGGGTGGAGGGGGGGGGTTTACTGATAAGATCTAGTCATTTCTACAATGCCGCTGAAACAACGTAGTAGTAAGACACACAGTATGAGGCATTGGGCGCAGAAAGTGATATCTCCAAAGATGTTGGCCAATTCTTACCAAAACGAGGTTACGTTTTCTTTGATTGATGAATAGCCAAATAATCCTATTGGCACTTACAGGACAAAAACTGAGTCGATAGTCCCGTAAAACACCCACTCAAACAAAAATAATCATAGTCGCTTCTGCCGTCCGGGATACTCTAGATTTTGGTGGTACCGCGGAGGAAAAAACCCTGTTATTTTCATTTCTTGATTTTTAAAACGTTTTCTACAATAGAGAAAGTGAAGTCCTGTGTACAGCCGGTTATATTATCGAGATGCTTATTCGCCTTTTTAGCGAACAATCATTTATCACTATGCTGGTTTACTGACCTGTACGATTTTGACTATATGAAATTACTTGTAGAAGTTTTACATCCCCATCGACACAAGTTAGGCCGTTTTGGAAGCAGGTTGTTTCGACAGTATCTGTTAGACTTAGAGCCAACCCAGACTGACTGAAAGGGGAGAGTAACAACATCCCAGCAGAAAGAAAGACCGAGAAACTCGATAAAAATGTCCCCTACTCGGGAATCGAACCCAGGTCTTCTGCGTGCGACAACAAAGCGCCTAACCGCTACACCACTAAGGCTAGTCTGTTCTCACGTATCGCCCTGTCAAAATCATCCTAGTTTATCTCTATCCACAATCGTTACATTCATTATTACAGGTGCCAGTCGTTACAAAATCTGAGACAACAATTGCCTCAGCCTGGCTGTGGATACTGTTCCGCTGAGAGAGCTCATGTCATATCAATAACCTCTATCATAATTTTTTTTTTATGTATTTTACGAAAATTTGAATAATTCGCGAAATGCTTTATTCATGTATGTAAAGTGATGCATTTCTTTGTATCCCGTGAAGTGTTGTTTTTTTTCGTCGCCTGCCTATTTATGCCTCTTCATTTTCACCGTAAACCCGTGCATTCCGATTCTTTCCATATGTGAGGCAGCGAGGGGGAATCAGGCCCTCGTCAATTTTTGTTCATGAAGAGTTATTGATATTATGTTAAGGCTTGTTCAATTTTCTTTATTTGGATGGAAAAAAGTATCTATTTATCTTGAATATAAGTTAAGATATTTGCGAATGAAGGAGGTGGGGGTCACCTATTTTCAGAGGTAAAATTAGTGAGAAAATGGCCGCAGAAGATTAGTTATTTCCTTAGCTTAAGAGTCCTTGGTAACTGAAAATTTACATTTTCTGTGCCTTTAATCAACGTTTTTCAAAAAAATCCCCCTGAAATGAGTTCTTTAATGGGCATGAAAGGTGTTGAGCCAAAAAAACAAAAATTTGATAAAAATTCACAAACCTGCGGAAAAATACAGGTTTCTTCATTTTGATTATTTTGACGAGAGCCTGATTCCACCACGTTGCCTCATATATTATTATGGGTTCGTATCCTGGGAATACGTATAGCATTTCCGATTGGAGACAATAACCACGTCTTCGTCTCTCGATCATCACTCTCTTCTGGTTAGACATTTGACCGTTGTCCTTGTCGCGATTTCAGACTTTACAAGGTCTGATGTTGGAATGTAGGCATGATTGTGACTAGGCAGGTCGGTAAGAAAGAATGTTAGATTGGTAAAGATGAAAAAGGCACGTTGGCAGGTACGGGGATAGGTAGGTAGGTAGGTAGGTAGGTTGGTAGGTAGGTAGGTAGGTAGGTAGGTAGGTAGGTAGGTAGGTAGGTAGGTAGGTAGACAGGCAGGCAGGTGCTTTAAAAGATAGGAAGTAGAGTAATAGAAAAGTAGGTATGTATAGGCAGGTAGTAAAAGGTAAGTATGTAAGCTACTTAGAAGTAGGCAAGTAGATAGACACGTAGGTACATAGATATTGAACTCTCAGCTCCGGTCGCAGTAAGCGGATCCATGGAAACAGTAAACAAACAACAAATATGGCGGTTACCGAAAAGAGTTGATAGCTCAGTGGACAGTGAAAATTAAAGGTCAAATTATAATGTTGTCCCTCCGAAGAGTAATTTAACCCCCCCCCATCCTTTCGTCCCCTTATTCTCCCCTTTAAAGATCAATAGCTTTGAGTTGTATGTCTCTGCTTCATGTTTACAGGGATCAAAGTCGAAGACCAAATGCCCGAGACCACTCGAAGTTTACCTACGCGCCTTGCACTTACTAGAGAGAACACGATGCTCAATAAACCCAAAAAGAACACTAAGGCCAAAGGAGCAGCGCCGCCTCCGCGCCTACAGCGCGCCAACACATTAACGAGCACCAGTTTTTACGCGCAGAATAATTACGCGGCGGAGAGGCAGAAAACGTTTGTCAGCAAAAAGAAAGCGCACAAAAGAGGAACTCTCGGGGATGGGAAACCAAAGAAAATTGATAACATTGAGAACTCTCCTTACGCCGCCATCTTGACGACCAAAGGTGCGAAGTACTATCATGGTCTGAAGCAGTTTTCCAAAGTTAAGAAAAAACAGCAAGGTGTCTAGCTGCCGGAAAACAAAACAAGTTTTGTTTGCAAAGAGCTAAAAAGAGCCAAACCTGGGAGAAAAAAATCCCCTGTAACATTCCCAACGCCATCGGCTGGTTGAAGTTTGCAAAACTCAAGAAAGAAAAAAACAACCCAAAAACAAGAGCAAACAAACCACGAAGAGCATAGTGCCCTTGACAAATCATGTACATGTCAGGTACAGACAGTCTATCAAAAGCTTTCACTATCGTGGTAAATTCTCTTAAACCAGAACCTAACCAGTGTTTGATGGTTGGATGGGGTTTATAAGACTCCAGGTAAAAAAAATAATAAAAGGCAGAACGGGTTGCTCTCCCAAAAGAAAGCACGCTTTTGGGGTAAGATAGCATACTTTTTTGCTTGCATCAAAAGCAATGATATTCTGAACACAATAAATGTTCCTTCTTAATTATACAACCAACTTATCAAAGGCTATGTGAACTCAATAGACCTACCTCAAAACTCCCCCCCCCCTAGTTCTCACATGCGCACACGCGCGCGCACACACGCATACACACGCATACACACACACACACACACACACACACACACACACATACACACACACACACACACACAAAACACACACACACCAATCCCAACATCCCAAAGG